AGGATGCCACTAGAAGGTCAACACAAAACATCTGTTTTGCTAACTCGTGCTGTCTCATCATACGGTAAAACACTCAAGAGTCCTCATGGCAAGATACCAAACTGTTCCATTTCCAGTCTGCATTAATGAATATCTTAAAGGAGTTAGACTCATTAGTTGGTAAATCATTACATTGCACAGTGAACTGCTATCGGTCAAGAATCTTTCTTTCTCCCTTTACATAAAATCTGTCATCACAACAAGAGATATATAGAAACTTGCAATTATCCTGTATTCTGCTGAAGGGCCAGCATGCTCATTAAACAGCTGAAGGCTCAGCACAGGCATGCAACTCTATACAATCCCTATTGCTCTCCAAGGCCATTTGACAAATAGATTTTGTCGGTCTTATTAAAAGTTGTTGACTTCATGCACAAAAGCGAAGAGGTTTTTGTACGAAAAAAAAACACAGACTGCATACAGTCCGAATTTACCAAGAAGCTATCAAATAAGGGCTAATCACATCAATAAAAGAAAGAGTCAGAACAAAGTTAGGAGAGCCATTAAATTTTTTCCAATGTAGCAAAAACACTATTAATCGTAAAAGACCTGAGAGACCTTGAGAGTAGTCCTGCTATTAGCCTTTGCTGTGCATGCCACTGATTCTGATTTCACTTTGTTACCAAGGACTTACATTTCTTAGTTTTAGGACTTAGCCTCATCTGCCTGCCTTCTAAATGTCCAATTAAGTGCCTCAGTATCCAATAAGGGCAATCTCAGACAGAGGAATGAAGGAGAATGGAGGGGAGGAAGGGCTTTGCCCTGAAAAAAGAAATGTCAAGTCCTTAGGAAAAGTGAAACAATTTTCAGTGGGATTGTCTAGTTAATTAAGGTAATAGCTGGCACCTTTTGGTGCCTGCCTTCAGAAAAGGAGTTTGGTATTAAAAGTTTTAAATGGATGAAATATTTGCAAGATAGGATAAGGTGTTTCGGTGCTTTGGGAAAATGTTCCTGCTGACTGTTCTAAATCCAAAATATATTGCCGTTAATAAAACTTAAATTTTCTGACAGATTTTATGGTTAAAAAAAAAGGTGAACATATACACACACACAGTGGTAGAAGTAAGACATACTGTATAGCACAGGAACATGCAGTAGACATCATCATGCAAAGCAGGTGAGTTGTAAAGGTGTATTGTGTCATTCACAATGGATGACACCAAAGTGCACCAATACATGTATTACACATTATTGTGATAGAGTAGCATGTAGACATGTACACTGCTCCAAAAAAATAAAGGAACACTTTGTAATCCGTGTATAACTGGTGGTGAGTTAGTTTTGTGACCGGCTAGTCTGGGCTTGAAATTGTAACCCCTGGCATAGGGGGTTGTTAATCAGTCTCAGCTGCTTTGGTGTTAATTATTATTATTATTATTGAGGATTTATATAGCACCAAAACTTTGGTCAGCGCTTTACAATTTAACAGGAGACAATACAGCAACAATACAGTTCAATACAAGAGGGATAGGAGAGCCCTGCTCCTTGGAGCTTACAAACTATAATGAAATTAACAACAGGTGCACTAGATGGGCAACAATGAGATGACCCCTAAAACAGGAATGGTTTTACAGGTGGAGGCCACTGACATTTTTCTCCCCTACTCATCTTTTCTGACTGCTTTTGACTAGTTTTGCATTTGAATGAGCGATACCTGGACCCTACAGAGGTTGCACAGGCAGTCCAACTCCTCCAGGATGGCACATCAATACGTATCATTGCCAGGAGGTTTTCTGTGTCTCCCAGCACAGTCTCAAGAGCATGGAGGAGATTCCAGGAGACAGGCAGTTAGTTTAGGAGAGCTGGACAGGGCCGTAGAAGGTTCCTAACTCATCAGCAGGACCAGTATCTGCTCCTTTGTGCAAGGAGGAACAGGATGAGCACTGCCTGGCACTATAGAGCTTGACTGGCATTCCCCATTGAACATCAGAATTGGTAGGTCTGCCACTGGCGCCCTGCGCTTTTCACAAATGAGAACAGGTTCACCTTGAGCACATGTGACAGACATGAAAGGGTCTGGAGAAGCTGTGGAGAATGTTATGCTACCTGTAACATCATTCAGCATGACCGTTTTGGTGGTGGGTCAGTGATGGTCTGGGGAGGCATATCCATTGAGGGACGCACAGATCTCTACAGGCTAGACAATGGCACCCTGACTGCCATTAGGTATCGGGATGAAATCCTTGGAACCACTGTCAGACCCTACGCTAGTGTAGTGGGTCCTGGGTTCCTCCTGGTGCATGACAATGCCTGGCCTCATGTGGCAAGAGTATGCAGGCAGTTCCTGGAGGATAAAGGAATTGATACCATTGGATGGCCCCCACGCTATTCTGACCTACATCCAACAGAACACCTCTTGGATATCATGTTTCGTTGCATCTAATGGTGCCAGGTTGCACCTCAGACTGTCCAGGAGCTCAGTAATGCCCTGGTCCAAATTTGGGAAGAAATACCCCAGGACATCATCTGTTGTCTCATTAGGAGCATGCCCTGACTTTGTTAGGCATGCATACAAGCACATGGGGGACATACAAACTACTAAGTACCATTTTGAGTTGCTGCAATGAAATTTCAGCAAAATGGACTAGCTTAGTGCATAATTTTTTCACTTTGATTTTTGGGGTGTCTTTGAATTCAGTCCTCTGTAGATTAATAATTTTCATTTCCATCAAATCATGGGGCACCCTTACTTTCGTAACACAGTCCATATCAGTATAGATATCCAGCATGATATTTTTTCCCCATTGAGATCTGATGTGTTTTCAAAGTGTTCCTTTAATGTATTTTGAGCAGTATACACGTCGTAAATTTTTGTTTCATTTACTTTTGGATGCAATCGTTTGTTGAAGAATTTTGTTTCACTATATTGATTATGTTAAAACCGTTTTGCTTTTGGGATTCGTTTCGTTATATTGGGCATTTGTTTGGCATATTCATTGATCCAGTAGATTAAAAACATTTAGCATCTTTTAATTTTTGGGGTGGATTTGATATTCATATATCAAAACTATTTGGAAAGGTTCAATAATTTTAAATGCAACAGAATAAATTATGCAAAATTCAGCAGCCGAATTTTTCAAACCTAAGAATTGCATTAAACTGCTGACTGACTGTAACAATTAAAAATTCAATTTAAATCAAAAATTTACTTGAAACCACATTATTAAACAAATTTTGAAAATTGAGTTTGTTTCCCCATGGGCCCGAACTACTATTGAATCATGTGTCACCATCCAAATGAAATGAATGAAACAAATGCATTAATTAATCTCATTATACCTTTTTTTTCTGATTTATTTACATTTGTTACTATAGCCATTCTGAGATTCAAATGCATCCAAAACTGCAAATCAAATTTTAGGACAAAAATTGATTCACAATGAACCAAAACACACGTCTAGTAGCATGGATGGGCCCAGGTTTAATATACTTGTATATTAAGTATATTGAAAGACATGCTGGTAGGTTAATTGGATCCTGTCTAAATTGTCCCTACTATGTGTATGTATGAATGTAAGTTAGGGACTTTAGATTGTACACCCCTTGAGGGTTAGGGACTGATGTGAATGTACAATATATATATATATGTAAAAGCACTGCGTAAATTGACGGCGCTATATAAGTACCTATAATATTAAGCCTACTAGGAACCTTGTAGTGCCATTTAATAAGAGCAATGTATTGCCAATGCTAGAGCATAAATGCACCTGGACACCAAGACTGAATTAGGCTGGATGGCACTCTTAGGGAAACCAGGAAGCCTATGTAGAAGTTGCTAAATGTAAGAGAGCCTTATGATGACCTCTGCTAATGTAGGATAAATGGGGTCAGAAAAACTGCCCCTTGTACAGCAAATGATGTGGAGGTGGAGGATACTAGTGATAATACAGAGCAGCGACATCAAAGAACAAGATATATCATCACCAGGGCTCCTTAGTAACATAATGATAAAATGAATTTTGATTTTCTTGCCTTAATATAAAACTTATTTTTATTATGATGTCATTCAATAAACAGTTTAAAAACAAGTAAATGTCCCCTTTCACTGCATCTCTTCCTTGACCTTATACAAGTAAATGTCCCCTTTCTCTGCATCTCTTCCCTGACCTTATATATTTCTACTTCTCTGCACTTCCAACTACCTCTTGTCTCTTGGTTTTAATTTGTAAAAATGATTGGGGCAGTACCCTTTCTCCCTAGAAGGGAGCTACTGTAGAATGTTTTACTGATGATGGGCCACGTTATCCCTAGGAGCAAGTTATGAACCTACTTAGAGATGCCTTTGAATATTGCACGTCATTGTTTTTTCCAGTTGTATTTTGTTGTCTTGTACCACCTTCCTTATATTACCTGTATCCAGTCAATGAACTGCAATTTGCCGTTGTACCTATAGCCTTTTACATTGTCTATTATGAATACTGCCTTGTTATAATACAATTAAATTTGTAAAACTAGTAAATGTGATACACTCTCATATCTATCTAATGTGATCCTATCTATGTAATGCTAGCAACATAAGGATTAAAAAATAGTCAATGTTGACTGAAAGAGTTTAGTTCTGCTTTAAAAAAAAAAACCATTTCACTATTCCAATTGAGCTTATGATATAAATTCTGTAGCACTCAGAACTTGAAGTCTGTACAGGTCACCAGAATTAACTTTTACAAAAACTAAGGAGGTATAAGCATTGTTTAAGTTCCATGATACATTTTTTAAAAGTTTGCAGGACTTCATGGAAAAATGGAAATCAACATTTAATGATATGCAAAGTATAATTATATTACAGAATGTGTATAATACAATGTGGCCACAAGGATCTATGGTTTGAAACGGAAAAACTAGGATATAAACAATTAAGGTATTTGATAGCTTAATCCAATGTGAAGCATGCTTTATTTGAATGCTACAGAGGACATGGAATCAGTGCCCAAGTTTTAAAATTCATGATAGCAGATATTTACCTTGACAGAGTAATCTGAAAGCTCTGATATCCAGCTATGTAGGAAGCCAGCCTAGTCAAGCTCTGTTTCCCTGAGCCTCCAACACCAACCAGCAAAGCGTTTCCTTGTGGAGTCCGGATAATACGGGAGATTTTCACCAAGTGGATCATTGCATCCTAAACAGTGGAACAAAAATTAATTAAAATGATGGCATAACTGGAATTTATGAGTGTGCTCTGTAAGGTATAACACTGGGAGGGTGTTACATTGTTTTTTGTAATCATTGCAAAACAAACATTTCAATACTCATATCTCCCCGTGATTTTATGAACAACTACAGATAAACAAAGATGATGTAAAGAAAACCTAAAGTGGAACTTCAGGTAAACACATACAGTCAATACATAATGGAAATGCTTATATATTTACAGTTTTAGCTGCCAAAGTATTTTTACTTTTGACAAAAAAATCGTTATGATAGACACACCTCTGCTAGTCAGTAAAATCACCTTGATACTTTGTGGTTTAGCTTGATTGGTTCTTGGATCAGCTTTCAGGTTGTAGCATCTGATGCTAGTTTCTAAACCAGCAAAATAAATTGCTTGACTGGAAGCTATATGTGTTTGTCTAGCTGTACAAATAGCAAATAGGCATTTTCGTGGTTTTTGTCTCTACTGAGCAGGTCCCCCCTTATAGCCAAGGTCGCTATTGTCACTGGGGCAAAAAGTAGGGGTATTACAAGAACAGGAGTAGAGGGGAGATTTACTAATGGGGACACCTGCTCCAGTTACAACTGTCATATTTTATTATTTTCCTCATTTGTGGAAGATTTTTGCTTACTTTCTGTCATATCACAGAGGACAGTAGGCTTAACAGAGCATCTCTGCTTTCCATACTATACCCTAAGCAATTTTACAAATTCACACTCCAGGCAGATATAAAATATAAGAGAAATAACCGAAAAACAGCTTTGTAAATTGTGATCCTTTTGGTCTCCCAGTTGATTATGTTATCAAGCAGCAATAGCATGCTGTGAATACCCTGAAAAATTGTCGATGTATGGCATCCTGGATCAATAATCTGCAGCCTGTTTTTATAAAAAAAAAAAATGGAGTGTGCTTAACCTTCAAAATATGGCATGACAGCTGCTGCTGCACACAAGATAAAATAGCATTCTGATTTACACACCATTTTCTGTCTGTGTTACCAGAAGAAAAAGAAAGTGATGCAATTTTAAGAAACTGGTTACATACATCTGACTTCCCTGTGTCTGCTATGCTCAGTGTCATGCATTATTTAAAAGCCGCTGCAAGCAGTGTTTTTGTAAAGCATAAGAAAGTCAATCTCAGCTATTTAAAGGATAGAGATTTACTCAGATTTGCCTGCCTCTAAGCCAGGAAGGGGACTTTTGAAAATGTATGCTACTATATAAGAATGTTTATTTTATACTGTTTTATACTGACGTGTATTAAATAAATAGGCACATTTAGAGCAAGAAATATGGTACTAAATATAAGCTAAATATAAATAAATGTACACAGTAATTGTGTAAACCACAAGAAAACTGAGCAGCAGATGCATGTGTGATTGGATTGGCCATTATCCTAAGATTTCACACATGGAAGTGATGTTTGATGGTTGATTCTGAGATACTAAAGTTCCCAACAATCAGCCTAATATTGCAGCTCTGAATACAGAAGAGGAGCAGAGAAATACTGCCAAAATAAATGTACGTATAGTGAGCGCTCCAAATATTTACACAAATATGAATTATATTATAAAAATATAAATATGATTATAAATAAATAAATCAGTATCCAGCAGCAATGTAATATAGGATATCCTAAAAACCCAGTGTAGGCAAATATAAATAAACAGGTGCAGCGCTAAAAATCAATCAGATAAAACATACATTTTCTCCACATAAATAAATAACCGGTGCTATTTGCACCGATTGAAGATATAGACGCACAGTCTAGTTATGCGTGTGAAAGCGTGAAGGCTTGACTCGATAGGGTCAGCATAAAAGTGCTTTTAAGTGGCAGAGAAATACTGCCACTTAAAAGTGAAGAAACATGGGGGCGGGGGGCTCTTCTTTAGCAAGGTGGTTGCTACAATTTAAGTGTAGGTAGTGGGTGTTATTTTAAAACTTTGGATCTAAAACACAGTTTCCTTCCATACATATAATTATTAGTATTTATCTTTCTGTCTTTTAACTCAATTCTAAAAGTCGTGATCTCTTCTAGATGTACTCCTTAATATTATATAACAATATATGAAATAATTACAGTTTTGATGTGAAGTTTGGAAAGACTCAAATCTAGTGTAGTGATCTGGGCAGAACAAGCATTTTCTGGGCAGAAATAAATGCCCCTAAAATTGCTTTTCCATTGCTACATTCTTTACATCCAGTTCTTGAACTGTTTGTAACTTTTTGCTGATTTCTATGCAGGGAACTAAAGTATTCTCTCAAACAAATAGAATTATGTGGGACAACCAAAGAGCTCAAGTAGAGGACCAAAGCACTGAAGCAACAGAAGTGAGAATTACTGTATGTGACTTTTTGACCAACAAATGAAAGAACAAAAGTGGCACGTATTTTTGTTGTAGGTTAGATGATCCTTCCTTCACAGCTCATAAATATGAAAAAAAATTCTTCAACAAACAAAAACTGTAGCCCAGTAGAACTAGCAAATGGAAAAAAAATATATATATCTGTAGCGGGGCCATTGCTGTTTCCCTTTTAAAGAACTGTTTCCCTTTTAAGACTGGATGCTGTCAGAAAGGGCTTGATTGGCTCAGCTGTCAGCAGTGCTGAATTGTTTGTGGGAGTTGCAGTTCCATCACAGAGGCAGACATTGTAACCTTATGCTGCAGAGGACTACATGGACCAGGATGCTTTGCAAGAAGAGGGGTTGGGGAGCCATGTGTGCCTTTGGAGAGGACATGTGGGAGCTAGTCTGCAGCCCCTACTGTTGAAGTACACTGACACTGTTTCCAGATCGGCAGTGGTTGCTAAGGACAACAGTTATCTACAGCAGCTGAAGTCAGCGGCAACTGTGATCAGTGGTACCAGTCACCAGCGACGACAGTTACCTACAGCAACGACATCTCCTACCGCAGAGAGAGAGGTCAGAGTGTTGGAAATCGCAGAGAAGGCATGTGACCATCCCAGGTGAGGCACCTCAGAGATTCTGCAGCAACGACAATTGACAACAGGAATCACTAGCCAGAGAAGGAGAGCCCAATTCATTATCCCTTCAAGGAGTTAACCCCTGGATCAGGGGCGGACTGATAACTCATGGGGCCCCCGGGGCAATAGGAAATCATGGGGCCCCGTGTCCTCACCCACACTCAAACCACACCCAAAAAAGCCTATGAAAGGTAGCAGGGGCATCTCATGGGGCCCCCTACTGACCCCGGGCCCTCGGGCAGTGCCTGAGTGTCTAAATGGTCAGTCTGTCCCTGCCCTGGATACTGTTCTTCTTGGATGTGGTGAGCAACTGCTAACAAGTGACATGTCAGACCTTAAGAGCACTCCTCAGATTCACTAACACAGTCCTGTGCAACACATAGACTCACACAGTGATACAATCCCACAGTATACAAGTGAATTTGGGACTGAGCCTAAAGAGATGTCAGTTTAGCTGGGGACATATTGCTGCTGTAGTTGCAGGGGGTTAATACTAATCCATATCTATACCGGTATACACACTAATATTGTGTTTATTGATGTTATTGTGCCAATTCTAGAAGGTTTGTGTATTCAGTGCATTTAACTGCTATTTTCCGAGTTAATTTGCAGTCTATTTGCAGAGTTTTACCTGTCTTATTAAACCTGTTATAAAACTACCCACAAGGTGTACTGGTGTGCTGTGGATCCAATATATATGGTTTATCACTGAAGTAGGACAGACGTGCCTGTTAATTCCAGTGGCTCCTTTGGGGGTGAGCACTGGATATCATAGTAGGGACTGATGCTTCAGCAAAAATTAAAAGATACAGAAGAGAATATTAGTCAAACATACAATGTGGTAAACAGAGACCTTTGCTGCTCAAATGCAAAAAAAAAAAATATATAGATACATACAGTATACATTAGCCTCTCATCATTCTCCCATAAAAGCATGAGCCTCGCTGTTCTGTCACCGACAGCTCTGTGACACACAATGGTAAGCTATAACTGTTGTTACCCGCTATTGATATTTTTGAGATTCAATATCACTTAGCTATGATTTAATAAGAGTTCTTTGACCATAAGTGAAAGCTTTAAAACAACCACAGAAATGTATTGGTAAATAGTATGAAGGTCTAAACTAACACACATATCTATTTACAGAAAAGGGAAAAAAAAAAAAGATCAAATGAAGGAATTATAAAATATAATACTTTATAATACATTATTACACAAACAAGACAGACAACACATAAGACAAACATTTATACATGTAAGTGCCAGAGAGATGTTATCGCTGTGGTAGCAAATCACTTTGTTCACATTGTCAAGAAACCCATATAACACCTCCTGCGTTACAAACCCTAAAAAGGGCTGGCAGAAGCCATCAGTAAGGGGTATTTGTGAATCATATTAAATATGTTACATTGCACAATATGAGTTATTTACCTTGAAAAACACTAGATCCATCCTTGCTCCCCTAACTGCTTCATTGTACTGTTGCATGAACATGTCAAGCCTGTTTGAAAGTTTTTCAAATGAAGGGACAGGCTCATAGATTTTAGGGGCTTCCAAATCTGCATCATCTGGCTCATCACCAGTAGCTTCTGGTGCATCCCGTAAGAAGTCTACAAAGTAGGACTCTTTTGATACACTCTGCAACAGCTCTTGTCCATGATCTTCTGATGCAATCTAAAAGTTAAAAACCATAATTGTTACACACAAAGAACACAGAACTAAAAGCATATTTTCTGTATGTAAAGTACCGTAATGTCCTATTTATAGTGGACCTTCAGTGGATATGGAAAATCTGGTTTATTGACAGCCTTATCTCCGAAATACAACTAGCTTTAAAATGCATAAAAAATAAAGTAAAAAATAATTACAAACCCCAGCCCTGACTTTCATCACGTACAGAAGGTGCAGTTGAAGTCAACATGCCTCATTGCTGTCAAATGGAAATGGTGGGCTCTCAAAATCCAACAAGAGTGTACCCTAGCCCATTGCACATGTGATCTTGTTTGTGATTCTGAGCATCCATCTTCATCTTGACTAATTTTTAAAGCTATTTATATTTGGGAGGTAGTGGGGCAATCATTTTGACAGAATGGAGTTTATTTACGAAAGCTGGAGAGAGCAATATCATGCTCACTTCTGCATAGGAACCAATCAGCTTCCAAGTTTTATTGCCAAAGCTTAATTGAACAAGCTGAGGTTAGGAGCTGATTGGTTTCTATGAAGAAGTGAACCTGATTTTGCACTCTCCAGCTTTAGTAAATAAACCTCAATGTGTGAATTAAGATAAATGAAAAAAGACCTAACCATGCTCTTTTATTAAATGCCACATAATTATAAACTTTGCTATTTTTTTTAACAGGAACCTGACACATTTTTAAATATAAAATCACAAATACTGCTCTGAATGTTCTAAAACATATCCCTCTAAGCAGCTACTATCTGATGTTTTTGAGAATATTATGGGACAAGTATAAATTTACACATCATTACCTTATGCAGAGTATTCTCGAACCAGTCCTTATCTTTTTGGTCAACAAACCTATCAGCAATCACACGTGTGCATTCATGTTGGAAAAGTGCCACAAGGATGTCAGTGCTGCGACAGACGTCTGATGTGACTGTCAAGATCCCCTGCCAAATACGGCTCAAGTCCCGCAAGTTAAAGATGTAATGAAATTTCGCTGGGGTCGGTAACATCTGCAGAATGGAATAAAATAAATTTCTTAAAAACCGTATTATTCATATATAGCAATAATATGGCAAGAAGATATTATTCTAGCAAGACAAAAGTATTGTGTGTAAGCTGATTGTACATGTGGTTGGCGATGCGGTTGCAAACATAATGCTATAAAGGGAAAAGGTAGGAAAGGTAAAAGATTTACTTGATTCTTCCAGTGATAAGGTTTTGGTTTACTTTAGGAGCATCACAAATTAAAGACTACAGTACTTGTGTAGTTCTGCTTGCCTTTAATCATGGGAAAAGAGCAAGGATAAGTTGTACAAGAATATGGCAAGTTTATTTGCAGCTTCTCAAAACATTGCTGAAAGTAAACTGTTTCACAGCAAGGTCAACTAAAACAACTAAATAAATAAATGTAATAAATATAAAATGACTAGTCATGCCTGTAGCATACAGTTGCAAGAAAAAGTATGTGAACCCCTTGGGATTACGTGGAGTTTTGCATGAATTGGGCATAAAATGTGCTCTGAACGTCATCTAAGTCACAACAATAGAAGAACACAGTCTGCTGAACATAATACTACACAAACATTAGATGTTGCCATGGTTTAATTGCACATAACATGTAAACATTCACAGTGCAGGGAGGAAAATGTATGTGAACCTTTGGACTTAATAACTGGTTGACCCTCCTTTGGCAGCAATAACCTCAACCAAACGTTTCCTGTAGTTGCAGATCAGACCTGCACAATGATCTGGAGTAATTTTGGACCACTCCTCTTCACAAAACTGTTTCAGTGTAGCAATATTCTTGGGATGTCTGGTGTGAATCGCTCTCTTAAGGTCATGCCACAGCATTTCAATCGGGTTGAGGTCAGGACTCTGACTGGGCCGCTCTAGAAGGTGTATTCTGTGCTGTTGCAGCCATTGTTTTGTTGAATTACTTGTATGCTTTGTCCTGTTGCATCACCCATCCTCTGCGGAGCTTCAGTTGGTGGACAGATGGTCGTACATTTTCCTGCAAAATGTCTTGATAAACTCTGGAATTCATTTTCCCATCAATAACAACAATCCGTCCAGGCCCTGAGGCAGAAAAGCAGCCCCAAACCATGATGCTCCCTCCGCCATGTTTTACAGTGGGGATGAGTTTTTGATGTTGGTGTGCTGTGCCTTTTTTTCTCCACACATAGTGTTGTGTGTTCTTCCCAAACAACTCAATCTTGGTTTCATCTGTCCACAGTATATTTTGCCAGTAGTGCTGTGGAACATCCAGGTGCTCTTTTGCAAAGCTCTTTTCCTCATGCAGCATTCTGCGCTGTGCTCTTGCAGTCATTTTTACAGGACGACCATGCCTAGGAAGAGTAGCAACAGTGCTAAACTTTCTCCATTTGTAGACAGTCTGTCTTACCGTGGACACATGAACATCAAGGCTTTTGGAGATACTTTTGTAACCCTTTCCAGCTTCATGCAAGTCAACAATTCTTGATCGTAGGTCTTCTGAGAGCTCTTTTCTGCGAGGCATGGTTCACATCAGACAGTGCTTCTTGAAACCAGTAAACCCAAAACAGGTGTGTGTTTTTTAAGGGCAGGACAGCTGTCAGCAACACATCCAATATCATCACACTGATTGGAGTCAAGGTTGGCTCACTCCTGGCTCCAATTAGCTCTGGGAGAAGTCATTAAGCTAGGGCCTCACATACTTTTTCCTCCCTGCACTGTGAATGTTTACATGTTATGTGCAATTAAACCATGGCAACATCTAATGTTTGTGTAGTATTATGTTCAGCAGACTGTGTTCTTCTATTGTTGTGACTTAGATGACGTTCAGAGCACATTTTATGCCCAGTTCATGCAAAACTCCACGTAATCCCAAGGGGTTCACATATTTTTCTTGCAACTGTATATGTATTTATGCAAGAGTGCATGCAGCAGGTTCACAACAGTACAAAACGCAGTCCAGCATAATCGTACAATCTTTAAGGGTCATATTGCTGTTAAGATCAGTCAATAACTGCTGTGGCATGCTTCATTTTTAGCCACCCCCTTTTCTGTGCAAGGATTTTTATTGATGTTCATAGAAATGAAAATAACATCAAATACACCCATGCAGGGGGACAAAATAATTGCATAATATAAGTTCTGGAAAGTAAACACCAACAGAATGACTGAAGTCAACACTCTGAGAGGCTGAGCATGGAGCCAACATGAAGACAGCCAGGATGCAATTTTATCATGTTATCTCGGGGGGAGCTAACTCTCCAGAGTAAGATAAAGGACAAGTAAGCAAGCAGAAGGTACAGAAAGAGAAGGGGAGAGAAAGAGAGCAAAGAGGTAAGGAAGGGATGAAGGGTAAATTCCCCAAAGACTCAGGTACAAGTTAGGACATCCAATTATAGATAGCTTGTACAGGAAGGTTTCATGAGGGCTAAAGTATAGTTAAGTTCCCAGGTTTTAAGAAATTTGGAATTAAAGTCACTAAGGATGCTAGACATTTTTTCATTAATCATCAGTATGATCATAGAGTCTTTGATTTGCTGAAAGGTGACCAAGGGTTTCTTCCAGGCTTTGGCGAATCACCTGTTTGGTGGCCAAAAATAAGTGGCCAATTTCTGTTGATAAGAGAAGAGACCAAAATGCAGTCAGTCTTGGACATGACCACAAGATATGGAGAGCATCACCACATTGTCCACAAAGTCTGAAGCATCTATCAATATAATTTGGGTTTGCATGAGCTATGCGAGCACAGACGCATTACCACCTGAAGAGAACCTTGTATGCTAATTCTAGAACCATCATGTTGAAGGAACATTTTGTTATAATCGACCAGGCTTTGCTCCAGTCCTCAATGTGTATATGGGTCGTAAAACCCCCTTCCCAAAGCCCCATGTAGGAGATGGTGGATACAGAGCTACGGCCATTCAGTGTAGTTACATAGTTAGTCTGGCTGAAAAAAGACAAAAGTCCATCCAGTTCAACCATTAAAAAAAAATATATATATATATAATCCTATACCCACAGTTGATCCAGAGAAAGGCAAAAAAAAACAGCAAAGCATGTTCCAATTTGCTCCTGCAGGGAAAAAAATTCCTTCCTGATCCCCCGAGAGGCAATCGGATATTCCCTGGATCAACTTTACCTATAAATGTTAGTATCCAGTTATATTCTGTGTATCTAAGAAAGAACCCAGGCCTTTTTTAAAGCAATCCACAGATCTGGCCAGAACCAACTCTTGAGGGAGTCTATTCCACATTTTCACAGTTTTTACAATGAAGAAACCTTTTTGTGTTTGGAGATTAAATTTCTTTTCCTCCAGACATAAAGTGTGCCCCCTTGTCCTCTGTGATGACCTCAGGGTGAATAACTCTACACCGAGTTCACTATATGAACCACTGATGTATTTATACATGTTGATCATATCCTACCTTAATCTCCTCTTCTCAATACATTCAGTTCCTCTTAATCTTTTCTCATAGCTGAGCTCCTCCATGCCTCTTTTTAGTTTAGTTGCCCTTCTCTGTACTTTCTCCAGTTCCCCAATGTTCCTTTTGTGAATTGGTGCCCAAAAGTGAACTGCACATTCCAGATGAGGTCTTACTAATGATTTGTACAGGTGTAAAATGATATCTCTCTCTCTGGAATCTATACCTCTTTTAATACAAGAGAGGATTTTGCTCGCTTTAGAAACTGCAGCTTGGCATTGCATGCCATTATTAAGCTTGTGATCTACCAGAACTCCCAGATCCTTCTCCACCATTGATTTACCCAGTGTATATAATGGGAATTGGGTAATTCAGGAGAGTGCAAGCAGGTGCGTTCAAAACTTCTAAAGGGAAAGTCTGACATTTGACATAACACTGCTATCTATTGGAATATAAACAGAGATCCTCCTGCGCAAAAGGTGAATAACCCTACTGTAAGCTGCCAACACTTAATCTGTTACCCAAACAGTGAAAATACCAAAATTACATAAATAGTGCAGCGCTCAAAAACTAACCTATATATACAAATAACTGTGCTGCTCACATGCAATAGTGACACACATATGGTGAAATAACCTAAATATCAAGTGCCACTTAATGATGATCTAAGGTGTTCATAAAGATATGAAAAAACGCTTATATACAACGTGGTAAAGAATGCATAAAAACGCATAAATATCAAACGCATAAATACATATAAAAAATAATTATAAATAATTTATAAAGTGCTCCAAATGTGGTAATGTGACCACATTCAATCAAATATATCTTCCAAAAAATCAAGCAAAAAAAATAGTCCATAAAAAATAGTGGCAAACACATGCAAAGTGAAAAAGGGTGCAAAAATATGCTAAAAAATTGTGCAAAGAGAAAGTGTCCTTGTTCCACAGCAGTGCAAATCTTCCCCTCCTACGGCTAAATTGCCTCCTCACCTCCTTACATCGACCCCTAAGGGCCACACAGCATTCAGGATCTCTCTGGATCCTTATCTCCTGGAGATCAGCACTTCTCCTGCCGTCCTGGATCACTCTGAAGGTATTCCCATTACCCCCACTCAGAAGCTTCTATAGGATAATTACTCACCATCCAGTGAGCAAGAAAGAAAGAGATCCTCTAAGTGCAGTATTTATCAGAGCCAAACGACACTTTAATAACAATGGTTTTACACAAGCATATAGCCACTCACATGTTTTTCCATTCCTCTCGACATGTGGGTGTACTGCATGTAATTAGAAGGACTTCCTGGGTATACCAAGATGGCGGTTGGCACCACGGGAAGTGCGTCACCATATCCGCGTACCGGAAGTTCGGCGTACTGGCGTGCCTACGCGTTACGTCACTCTTACTCGTGACTTCCTCTGGGCCCAGAGGAAGTCACGAGTAAGAGTGACGTAACGCGTAGGCACGCCAGTACGCCGAACTTCCGGTACGCGGTGACGCACTTCCGGTGCCAACCGCCATCTTGGTATACCCAGGAAGTCCTTCTAATTACATGCAGTACACCCACATGTCGAGAGGAATGGAAAAACATGTGAGTGGCTATATGCTTGTGTAAAACCATTGTTATTAAAGTGTCGTTTGGCTCTGATAAATACTGCACTTAGAGGATCTCTTTCTTTCTTGCTCACTGGATGGTGAGTAATTATCCTATAGAAGCTTCTGAGTGGGGGTAATGGGAATACCTTCAGAGTGATCCAGGACGGCAGGAGAAGTGCTGATCTCCAGGAGATAAGGATCCAGAGAGATCCTGAATGCTGTGTGGCCCTTAGGGGTCGATGTAAGGAGGTGAGGAGGCAATTTAGCCGTAGGAGGGGAAGATTTGCACTGCTGTGGAACAAGGACACTTTCTCTTTGCACAATTTTTTTAGCATATTTTTGCACCTTTTTTCACTTTGCATGTGTTTGCCACTATTTTTTATGGACTATTTTTTTTTGCTTGATTTTTTGGAAGATATATTTGATTGAATGTGGTCACATTACCACATTTGGAGCACTTTATAAATTTATTTATAATTATTTTTTATATGTATTTATGCGTTTGATATTTATGCGTTTTTTATGCATTCTTTACCACGTTTATATAAGCGTTTTTCATATCTTTATGAACACCTTAGATCATCATTAAGTGGCACTTGATATTTAGGTTATTCACACCATATGTGTGTCACTATTGCATGTGAGCACAGTTATTTGTATATATAGGTTAGTTTTTTGAGCGCTGCACTATTTATGTAAATTTTACTGCTATCTATTGTCACAGTTGTAAACATCAATAGAAATCCGAGGTGAGCACTTTATGAATGTCTTGTATAGTAGCCCAAGAGACCTCTGCCTTTTCAAATTGCTTTATATTCATGTGCTGACACTTAGGTGCATTATAAGAACTTAAGCTCCAATTTATCTGGCCTAACAATAAAACCATTCCTCAGCAACAGTGAGCTAGAAAATACAGAGTAGTCTTACAGCTGAGGTTCTATCGTGCTGAAAAAAATTGGGGGCAAAAAAAGAAGACGGATATATAGTTAAGAGTTACGTAAGGTTGGTATTGGAGAAAATAAAACAGCAGTAAAAAGGAGAAGACTCAACAGGAGGATGCTGTAGAGAAAGCTTATTTCCAAAAACCCAAACCCACCACAAGCAGGTTCCTGATACTATAGTCTTAACATCTCATAGAATGAAACAAAGAGGAGGAAAAGAATATGAAACCACATTGACTGTCCTGGACAAAGTTACCAGTTCGGTTATTTTTTTTAAAGTTCAAATGTCCATGTTGTCCACACTATGAAAAACACTGAAGTCTTTTATCTAAAACTTCAGCTTATGATACAAAAGATGACTTTCAGGATTTACCTTAATTTTAGTTGCCTGCCACACTTTGCGTGTAGTAGGGACCAATGCAGACGCCAGCTTGCACACTTCAAGAGGAAATCCCCTTTGTTCACAGAAATAGCCTTCAGCCACTGTCCTAAATATTTTGTCAATAGAGGAGTTTGATGGAAGAGTGCAATTAAACACTGTAAATTGGCGCTTTAATCGCTGGGGAATGTCATTTCGGCCTCCACCAGGATGAATCATGGCTGCCGCAAACTGAATGTCGACAACACTAGTGAATTCACCAGGCTTTTCTAGGTTGTAGAAGCCCTTTTGCTCCATGAGTTGCCTTACAATTTCATTGGTTATCTGTAAATGAAATATTAGAGAAGAACAATCAAGTACAATGTTCTGGGCCATTACAATACAATTTATTTTAAAATAAAACAATTATATTTCATCAAAATTACAAACCATGGGTGGTCACTGGCCAAAAATGTAGGAGGTGTGACATGGGGGATGTTTAGCTCAGTGGTAGATGCCTTGTTTAGTGAAGTCCACATCGGATGTACCTATTTTAAGGGCCTAGTAGCCCACTTTTATTAAAAGGAAAATGGCAAGTCCATAAAACAAGTTTCCCACACAGGGGTTCTTCTCCAGCAAAAGATACAAATGAAAAATGCTAGCCCATCTGGCTCTTAAGCTCTCACTCATCTTTAATCACAGTACGTCTGCTTTTTTATGTTGATCACCCAGACCACAGGTTCTTCAATGCAGATGGCTTCACTCTGTTGCACACAGTTTTCCTGGCCTTAGTCCTCAGGCCTTTATCTGTCTCTCACTCTAACACACACAGCTCCTCTCTGACTTCCGGAAGAGGGCTTGGAATCCTCTTGACCCTTGGACAAGATTTCCTTCTGTCTCTTGGGTGGAGCCCTGAGGTATTCTCAAACCTCCATTTTAAAGCCTGTGTGCACCTGAGCACACACCCTGCTGGTCCTCCACAAAACCTGGGCACTGGGTTGGAAATTCCATCTCACCCAAGACACTATGGAATTCCAAAACTATGGAGCCCCATACAGGAATACAAAAACCTGGACAAAACTGCAAAAACAGTTTTCTCCACTCAAAATAAATGCGCCTTAGTCCTGCACTCAGCAAACGTGCAAATCCTGTGTCCTTTTCTTGACCAATTCCACAGTGACAGAGCTTCGTTCTGTCACAGAGGGTTAACAGGAGAATATAGATAGATTGGATATATGCAGTATTTTTTTTTTTTTTTGCTTGTTTGAAAACAGAAAATAGATTAAATAGGTTGCTATGAGCAAATACAACAGGTCTCCTAAACATTAGCATTTACACATATTCCCAAGCATGTTCTGCATTATCAGACTACAAAAGCAATTTTACAGATATGGTTATATTATATACCTAGTCTGATAAAAAACATAGCATTAGAGTAAATTAAATATTGCTGCAATTGCTAAAGCTAAATCTGGGTACACATGTATTGAAATTCAGCCTGTTCAGCAGGAACCAACTGAATTTTGATCTGTATGCAGCCCTCTCTGTTCAACAGAAGCAGGGAGTCCCTGTTTTTAGAATACAATGGTGCAGCAGGGGAGAGTCCTGCATTCGCATTTCTTGTGTGGATGAAGGAATCTGTGAGCTTTTTCCGTTCAGCTCACTGGTGTGCACCCAGCCTAATACTGCAACCACTAAAGAACAGTAACAGGTTAAAGCTGAGCTACACAAATAATTTAAAAAGTAACCTGTCCCTAGTCTGGCCAGAAAAGGAGCAGCCAGTCATCTGAAATCCTCTCTGCTTAAAAAACCTCACACATGAAAAAAAATTGTGTCACCACACCCCCTCTCCTGTGACTGACAGACTAATTAGGAGACAGCTCAAGCCTGGGGAGACTGAGAAAATAGCTATCCCCATGGACACTGGGTAACATTTGAGGCACTGGAGACTACAGACTTTCATAGGCTGGAGGGAGCTGAGCAACTGTCCGGAATTACTCAGCAGGACCCTGCCGACACTGTGCTTTTCTCTACTAAGGGAGGAGGAGGGGGGATACATGCTTTCACAGGATATTATTATCAGCTAACAGGAGCCAAACAACCTCAGATTTAACCCCACAGCTCCCAGGGAGAGAGCAAAGCAGAAGGATCACAATTAACCCCTCAATAGTTGGGCACTTTTACTGTAGTGCCCTACTTTCAAGTGATGTTCGATAGTCACACACAGTAGAACTGGCCAGTCATTGAGGGGTTAATTGTGATCCTCCTGCTCAGCTTTCTCCCTGGCAGCTGTGGGGTTAAATCTGTGTGAAGCCATGTGCCCCCCCCCCCCCCCCATTAGTGGATAATGATGACCTGTGAAAGCATGTATCCCCCTCCTCCTCCATTAGTTAACCTCCTTGGCGGTATGATTATTTCAGATTTTTGGTGCTGAAAGCGGTACCATTATTTTGCATGGAAATATGTCGTTTTTTTATTGTAGGCTGTAATATTTAGGAATAACTCACTGAAATCTGTCCGAACAAGAGTCTATTAAACATCCCGGGTATGATAAAATTTGAAACACAAAATCATAAATTATAATTTAATAAATAATCATAAAAAATAATATAATAATAATACATTTAATTCAATAATATAATCAAACCAAAAACACTGAAATTTGAAATAGAGCGCCAAGTTCGCACATCTCTGAGCAACGTCGCAAAATTGTTTTCAGTGTCTGATGACGAATTTCTCCACGAATCATTATCACTCAATTCTGCAAGTGGTTCTGATTTACGATCGCTGTTCTCTAGCTGATCTAAACCCGCTTTTGACCTAAAGGGACACTTTTTGGACGCCATGGACTTTGCTAAGTTTCCAGGCAGAAAGAACAGTCAAAATGCAGGCAGGGCACAGGGCACTAGGAGCACTAGGGACAAAATGTATGTGAAATGGTTTGAAACAGCAATGTTTTACTATGTAAAATTCATTTTGAAAAAAATGACATTTTTTAAAAATTTTCAAATTTCCCGCCGCTGGCGGCGGCGCGCCCGTACGTCCTGACGTCACAGGGACCGGAACACAGAAGCCGGATGCCGGCATCGGCCGGAGGAGATGGCCGGGATGCTGCAGGGGACACATCGCAGGAGCGAAGGACAAGGTAAGCTCTGCAGGGACTCCCTGAGCAACGCCTCATGGTAAGCCCGAGTGTAGCTCGGGGTTACCGCTTTTGGTACAGAAACTTTACCCCAGCTACACTCGGGAGTACCGCCAGGGAGGTTAAAGATAAGCACATACTGTCAGCACGGTCTGCTGAGTATTTCTCGAGCTAGGATTGTATTGTGTGGATGGCTGTGGGACACATGCCCCCTTCTCTCAAGCTCATGCATGAGACTCCTAATTAGTCTGTCAGTCACAGGAGAGGGGGTGTGGCAACACAATTTTTTTTCATGTGTCAGGTTTTTTACCATAAAAAAGCAGAGAATTTCTCATGACTGGCTGCTCCTTTCTTAGCCTGACTACAAAGTATTTTTGCTGCTATGCTGTGTGAGGTAGACTGGTCATTTCAATTTTGATTTTTTTTGGGGGTTTACAACCACATTAAGTGTGGGTTTTAAATGTAGCTAGTATAAGTAACTGAATTTTTTTTTTTTCAGTTTCTTGTAATTTACTTCACAGCATGACTGGGAAAAGAACAGTCATAACTATAACCAGTTAGGTTCTGCTGCAAACGCATGTCCTAACTATAATAATCATAGCTTTTCTGAGCCCATAATGGTGTTATGTCACATAGAACATGTTCCTTGATTATTACAATAAACATGTTTGCATGGTTGAACGTGTGGCTTGCCCTCTCATGTCTTCCACTAAACATGTCTGATGACCAATATGGATGCAGCATGAAAGAGATGGGAAAGAAAGCATGGCTCTGCGGTGCTGTGGGCAGAATATGCTTAATAGGGTTTTAGGGCTTTCAAAGAGCTCTAGAAATATACTGAAAACACAAGCAGGAACCCAGAAGAGCCTGTTATGGAGACTAAAGGACAATATTAGATCTGCAATGGCCACAGGTGCATTTTGAATTTTAAAGGCAAAAAAACACTCCTATTTTTATAGGCGGCAATTAGCCAGTTACTGTGTCTAAAGTTGTTTAACTCATAGCATACAATGGCATTTCAGTTTACCAAAGCTAATCAGTGAAATATGAATGCTGTGTAGTAGCTGTACAGAACACATGTTTATATTGCTTTTATTGAGAAATCTTTTAGAAACTTGCCTAAACTTGCTAATTGTACAACACAGTCAACGCTCTAACATGATATTGTGATATTGCAGGATCCATATGTATGTATGACCAGCTTTATAATCCTAGTAGGGTTCTAAAGCTGGTCATACACATCTGTGGATTCTGCTGAAAAAAATATGTACAATTTTAGATTTGGCTACCAAGAATTTGAAAATAAAACCAATTACATTGTAACTTCTGTTCACTTCATCTCTTCCATGTTCTAATGTGCCATACAAAGTTGTATAGAATGGAAAACGAAAAAAAACAGTGCCTCCCATCAATATGTAAATTGCCTATGTTGCTAAATTAAAACAGCCTAATTAAATTAACCGAATCTTGCATTGTAATATGTGTTTTGCCATCAACAACTCCAGCAGAACAATTTTAAGGTTATTTTAGCAACTGTAGTCAACTCCGTTTCACAGCTGAAAGGTCATCATAATATGTTTCCATATGTAGTTTTTATTTGTTTCTATGCCTGTCCACTTTGTAGATCCCAGCAGACTACTTTTAAATACATAAAATACATTCATACATTAACAATTAGTGCACATTCTCCTGAGGTCTAGGATTATTGCATAAATAGTGCATTCAATTATATAAATATTTAGTTGCACCCTTACCTCTATAGAAAATTCCTCTAAATAAATTCAGAGATCAGCTCAAGTGGTAATAGTATCTACATTTCTATGGGATTATCACCATCCCACAAGCAAAAATCTAACTTTCATACTCTCCTACCTTCGATTTTGAAGTTAGATTATATTTTTGTTTCCGTCTTTATTTCATTTGGGTTTAGACACAATCACTTGGACAGGTCCATTATACTAAGTTTTTTAAAGGTAACCTAGATGATTCCATTGTTGCTTCACATTCTGAAAATTTCTGGCTGTCATGTTTACCTTCTTGCTACAATACTTTGTGCCCCTTACCTGGAACAAGCATGCAAAAAAAGAAGTCTAGCTCTGACTTTATAGATATACATGCGTATATACATCCAAGTTAGCAATTCCAACCTTACTGCACCTAGTGGGGCAGTGTCCTGTCCAGAAAACTAGAATCCTCAGAAGGG